CCCCCCCATCTCCCCCGGGCGGAGGCTGGCTCACTGTGCACATGGGCAACCCCTCACCCAGCTGGTGGTAGTTGGAGAGGCCGAAGCCGTAGACGTGGCCCTCCTGGGTGACGGCGAAGGTGAAGTAGGCCCCGCAGAAGGCGTCCTGGAAGCGCACCCGGCCCTTGCCGCTTCTCCCCTTGAGAGGGACGCGCTGAGGCACGAGCAGTCGCTCTACACGGGAGACAAGCGATCAGGCTGCAGCGAGGACCCCTCACCCAGCTGGTGGTAGTTGGAGAGGCCGAAGCCGTAGACGTGGCCCTCCTGGGTGACGGCGAAGGTGAAGTAGGCCCCGCAGAAGGCGTCCTGGAAGCGCACCCGGCCCTTGCCGCTTCTCCCCTTGAGAGGGACGCGCTGAGGCACGAGCAGTCGCTCTACACGGGAGACAAGCGATCAGGCTGCAGCGAGGAGAGCCAGGAAGGCGCCCGTCCCATGGGAAGGGTGGGGAGTGGAGGGACGAGCCCAGCATAGCTCCAGGCTGGCCGGTGCCCCTCTTGGGGCCTTATTCTCCCAGTGCTCCGTGGGGCGGGATTTGCAGACTCAACTCAAGCCACGCGCCTAAAGAGAAACCCGGCCGCAGCCCCGCTAGGGAGCCCCTGCCCGGCGCCCTTTCCTCGCGGCCAGGGAAGGAGACTTGCCCATGCGACCGCCCTCCGGCGGTGCTGCCCACCCCCTCCGCTCCAGCGTGTCTCACTGCCACTGCCGGCAAAGAGCCCCCAGCAGACAGGGCCCCGTCCAGCCAGCTCACCTCAGCGGCCGATACAGCCCGCGCCTCCCAGCTTAGCGGGTCACACCCCGGCCGGCCGGGACATCGGCATCTGCGCCCCCTCAGCATCTCAGACACCACCTCCCGGGGCCCCCGCCCCCCCCCCCCCCGCATCGACTCACGTAAGCCTTTCCTTCCTCCCCGGTTGGCGAAGAGCTCCGGCACTCGGCCCAGCTGGCCCTGCTCGCCACAGCCACACGTGTACAGGTCCCCGTCCACGGTCAGCAGCACTAAGTGATCGTTCCCTGGGGGATGGAGAGAGGGTTAGCCCTGCCCAGGACCCCCATCTCTACGCAGCGTGCCTGGCGGCTGGGGGGCTTTAGCCAGCCAAGTCCCACGCAGGAGTCTTGACACGTACGGACTCGGCAAGACCCCCGGGCATTTTCCTCACTCGCTCTGGAACGGCAAGCGGCCCGTTTCTGTTACAGGGGTGGCTCAACAGCAGCTCTCAGAGGCCCCCCTTCTGCACCTACCAGGCTGCTGGCAGGGTGCTCGGGGCTCCCCTCTGCCGGAGGACAGGGGGTCTCAGGGCCTCAGCCCCATGGGAGGCTCCTCTGGGGGTTTGGGGCCCCAGCAGACACCCCCCCAATCTGAAGCTTCTGAAGATTGTCGTATGCGGCTCAGACGGTCAGTACGTCTGGCTGGCCCTCGCACTGAGCACTAACTGCCTCTTGCATGTGCTACGCTAAGAGCCAGGGGCGCTGAGTCATCGCTCCCACCTGATCCCAAACCACACGCCGACATCAGCTGAGTCACTGAGACTTCCCCATCCAAAGTCCTGTACCTGCCCTGCCTCGGTTTCCCCACTGGTAAGATAATCCTCCTACTTGGATTCACTAGTTCACACTTGCAAAGCGCACACAGAGAGGCTGCCCAGTCGGGGTAATAAAGGAGCACAGGGCAGGGGAAGGACCAGCCTTCTGCAGCTGGTAGAAAAGAATCAAATGATCTGGTTTATTCGGAGTCTCCGAGTGGCTTGTCTGTCCGTCCCTCACCTGAGGCTATTTTAAGGACGGGCACATCCAGCGGCAGCGGCACCGGTATGGCGCTCTTCTTCATGGGCTCCAGCAGACCGATGACTCCATTGTTATCCTGGACGGGAAGCGAGACGCAGGGGAAATTTAGGGGCAAAGCCAGGGAAGAGGCAGCCCTGCTCCCCGAGCCAGCGCAGCGCACGTACCCGGAAAGAGCCCCAGAGGAAGACCCTGCCGTCCTCCGTCAGCGCGGCCGTGTGGCTATCGCCAGCGGACACCTGCACCACCTTCTCCTGCAGCTCCACCGGCCCCGGGGTGGTCTCCGAGCCCTCCGCGGAGGTGTCGCGACCCAGGGCGCCTTCGTCATTGCAGCCAAAGGAGTAGATCTGGAAATGGAAACGTGTCGCAGTGGGAGAGGTGCCCAGAGCCAGGACAAACCCAGGCCTGGAAAAGCCACCCGGCTCTAACGAGCAGCTGGCACAGGGCTCAGCCACCACCTGCCAGCCGAGGGTGACAGCTGGGTTATTCTCAGAAGCCGCAGTTGGAAGGTGAGGGAGGTTCCCATTTCATCTCCGGGCACTTTGCAAGCTAGAGGCTTAGGGTGCAGAAGAACTAGTCCCTGCAGGGGGGATCCGACAGGCAGCGTCCTGGTGAGAAAAGGGGGACAAGCACTGCCCCCCACAAGCCGCCAGGAGATCTTGAATGTCCTTTAGGGGCTGAAAATACCTTGGTGTTGCTACCGTCTCCCGCAACAGGATCCGCCAGGGAAGCACTTAGAGCAACTCCCCTTCGGCCCAGAGCAGCTGACACCCCCACCCCCACCGTGAGGCTAGTAAGTTGAGAAGCCCAATTGCTGCCGTGTGACGGCACAAGCCCCATGCGAGGGGCAGGCGGGGAGAGAGCCGCACCCAGCCCCAAAGTTTCATTAGATTCAGTCAACAACAACGCAGGTGGGCCAGACGGAGGGGGGCCGTGACGGAGAGCTCTGTGCCATGGCACAGCCGTCCTCTGGCTCTGCCCCCCGCCGGGCCACGCGAACGGCCCAAGTCACACAGCGGCAGGTTTCCCCTGCACGGCTCACTTTGAACCCAGGACTTTTACCAACGCACAGCTCCTCCGCCGCCACGCACGGTCCTGGGCCAGCCCCCTGCTGCCACCCCAGCGCCCGGGCTCCGAGCAGCAGCTCTGGAAGTTCAGAAGGCAGCGGAGTGAGGGCGCAGTAACCGGAGGGGCTCTGGCGCAGGGCTCTTGTCTGTAAGGAACCTCTTTGAGGGAGGGTTCTGACCCGCGGTGCAGCGGCCGCATGAAGATTTAAGACAGTGGGTCTGGCTGTCCTGGGCCAGCCCCCTGCTGCCACCCCAGCGCCCGGGCTCCGAGCAGCAGCTCTGGAAGTTCAGAAGGCAGCGGAGTGAGGGCGCAGTAACCGGAGGGGCTCTGGCGCAGGGCTCTTGTCTGTAAGGAACCTCTTTGAGGGAGGGTTCTGACCCGCGGTGCAGCGGCCGCATGAAGATTTAAGACAGTGGGTCTGGGCTCAGCGAGTCACCCCACCCCCACGCGATGTCAGGCCCTCGCCGACCCCGGCGCCGCCCACTCACTTTGCCTGTCGCGCCCAGGCAGACGGTGTGCATTCCCCCCGCCTCTGCCTGGATGATCCTCTCGGGCAGCTGCACCAGGGCCGGCCTCTTCCGCTCCATCACAGCCTCTCCCAAGCCCAGCTGTCCCACGTCCCCTTGGCCCAGTGTCAGCACCAGGCCAGGCTCCGTCCGGTGTGACGAATGGCAGACTAGAGCACAGGAGACAGAGGGGGAAACGCTGCTAAGCAGGATGCCAGGGGCCCGCTCCTGCTGTGCTGGGGCTCTCGAGACACCTTCCCACCCCAACCGGGGCGGAGCTCCCGAGCGAGAGACTGAGCCAGCCACGCATGGGGCTCCAGCAGTGAATCCCAGGCGCCGCAGCGGGCCAGAGGCAATAGGACGCCAGCAGAGCTCGGTGTGGGGACCTCGCAGCCCTTCGCACCAGCCCCGGGGAAGGGATCATACTGAAGAGGCAGCAAGTGCAGCTGACAATGAAAGACCTTGGGCAAGTCAGCCCTCCGCCTGCTTTGCTTCCGAGTCTCCATCCGTACAGCGGGACTCCTGCCTCCTCAGACTGGGGGGGGGTTTCCGATTAATTAACATCCCTGAACGACAGCACTTAACTATTTTAACTTAGGGCCGTGGGGTCCCACCACTCAGCCCCTCTGCAGCCAAGGCTGCTCCAGTCTGGCAGGGCTGACTGCAAGGGCTGGTTCACCAGTAAGCCTGGTGTACCAGTTAACATCCCTATTTCAGATCCTTGGGGGGCAGGAGCTATGGAAGAACTTGGCTTCTTTATCCTTTAGCCCAGGGTTTCTCAGCCTTTTCACTTCAGGCTGACAACAGCTTATCCCACAGCAATGTTTTATAAACGTGACTGATACAGAACTGTCAGCCTGGATCAGACCTGTGCCCCGGCAGCCTGCCTCTGACACCAGCCGGCAGATGTTTCAGAGGAAGGTGCAAGAAACCCTGAAAAAAAAGACATTTTACCTTTAACCTTCTTCCTCTCCGGAGACCCTTCTTCCGGTGTTGGGCTTTTCTTTGCAGCACGCTTTCCTGGCATATTGCTAGAGAGCTAAACTGTTAAGAACACTGCATGTTAAGACGTTCATTAACCCAGAGTCTGGGAGAAAAAGCGGAATTGAAAAGCACAAGCTTCCAAAGTGACATTGTCAGGTCCTGCCCAGCCCCCTGTTTTCTAATAAATCTCTGACGCTGGGGTTTTGCAAGAGGCCTTCGGCCATGGGAGATGAAAGTGAAGTGGGAACTGGATGTCTAACTCCCTTCCTCCCCCCCCCCCCCCCCCCACAACACCACGCCAACCCAATTTTAGAATCTAATTTCCGTTTCACCATTCTATCCACTAGTCAAGCTCAGATGTAATCATGAATTCCCATTTGTTCTAGGGACGTTAACAGGTAACTGGTTAAATGATTATCCGGTAAGCATCACCCTTAATGCCTGATGCTTACCAGGTAACAGTTAACTGGTAGGGATGTTAACCATTAACAGAGGCAGCATTTGTGGGGGTAGGCGGGAGCCAGTGCTTGGAGGAGCTTAAAAACCAGCTCCTCCCCCCTGAAGCACCATCTCCTGGTTCTCCTCCCGCATGTAAACACGTAATTGCTGAAAAATGCAGCAGTTACACATTCACAAAAATAAACATTTGCTAACATCCCTAGTATCCAGGGAGCAGCCCGCCATGGGTGGAGGGCTACTCTGACACTGCCCAGTCCCCGCACAAGGCTGGTGGACGGAGCCAGGCAGGAGCCCGCTAGCCACTCTGGTTCAATCTGTTAAGTGGTTAAACTTAATGTTTACATCCCTAATATGTTCATCTTCATGTTAAGGTCTCTGTTGATAGAATCGAGTTGATGAGATCTATCCAAATGGTCACCCCAAAAATCCAAATTCTCGGCTTTCTCAACTTTCACCAAGGCTAGCAGCGCTAAACTTATTTTCAACGGATAATCAGAAGTTAGAAAGTCAGAGGATTCAACGGTTTTGTGGCTCTATTTTCCCAAAACACTGCTTCCTAGTCCTTTGCTACAAGAGGTGCCAGAGACACAAATAGTCCTTGATCCTAAAAATATCCGTAACTCATTACAACAGTGAAAACCTACACCTGAAAGCTTAAGAGGAAGATTCAGGAGAAAGGTGATGTTAAACGAACAGCACACTACTTCAAGACTCCATTTCTTCTTCCTAGAATCATGTTTTTGTTATTTCCTGGCTTGACCCTACAACCATATCTGAAATCAGTGTGATAACAAGCACAGAAGCAAAGGTTGCTGGACTCCAACACCTTAAGAAAAGCTTACAGTGATATATCAGGATTTTAGGCCCAACGTTTAGGGTGCATTTGGAGTTCTCTCAAAAAATATTTTTTAAAACTTTTTTAAAAAACATAGTTGTTTAAAGTGGCACAGGCAGAGGTGACAACTAAAATACTGCAGCATTGTGCTCTCGACAAGAGAAAAAGTGAAAATGAGTAGAAATTCAAGTGAGATTGGATAGTCAAGCTTTCATTGCCCCAGCAAAGCAAAAAGTAAAATTTAAACAATGAATCAATGGTGAAAAGGAGATTTAGTTTTTCCAGTAGTTTTAACAAAGTAAGATGTTATGAGCAGCACAAGGGGAAAATGTGGTAAGGTTTCAATAATATAATCATTTTATACTATATCCCTTTAATGTTTGTAAAGTTTTTTGACACCCCGGCTGTGTCTAGACTGGCCAGTTTTTCCGGAAAATCAGCCAGCTGTCTACACTGGCCGCTTGAAGTTCCGCAAAAGCACTGACTTCCTACTGTAAGAAATCAGTGCTTTTTGCAGAAATACTATGCTGCTCCTGTTCGGGCAAAAGTCCCTTTTGTGCAAAACTTTTGCGCCAAAGGGCCAGTGTAGACAGCTGAGATTTGTTTTGTGCAAAAAAGCCCCGATCGCAAAAATGGCAATCGGGGCTTTTTTGCGCAAAAGCGCGTTTAGATTGGCCACAGACGCTTTTCCGCAAAAAGTGCTTTTGCGGAAAAGCGTCTGTGCCAATCTAGACGTGCTTTTCCGAAAATGCTTTTAACGGAAACCTTTTCCGTTAAAAGCATTTCCAGAAAATCATGCCAGTCTAGACGTAGCCCCTCTAGTTATATATAAGAACAGCCATATTGGGTCAGACCAAAGGTCCAGCTAGCCCAGTATCTTGTCTGCCAACAGTGGCCAATATCAAATGCCCCAGAGAGAAGGAACACAACATCCATTTCCAGACAAAAGTGATATGCAAAGCACAGCACAATTTTAGCTTACTTAGTGACTTCCACATACAATCTGCCTGCCTTCATTTTACTAACTGGTTATAGGAGTCCCAAACACCACAAAAATCAAGCCTCTAATTCCCAGCTATATAGCTGGGGCAGAACATGGCTATAATGCGCCTCCACCATCACGATTATTTGCAAAGAAATGAGACACGTGAAGAGGGAGGCTACTCCCAAGAGGCTACACGCTATGCAAACACGCCTCCCTCTGCCCACTGCTGAGTTCTTTCTTTCTGACTTTTACAACCAGGTGGGTGTGGCTGTATCTTTTACAAGCCCTCACACGCCTCGTTTCTCTGCAGCCCCGCGTGAACAAGGCCACAATGCTGGATACATACAAACACACAGGCTATGTCTACACTCACGGCTTCTTGCGCAAGTACAGCCGTTCTTGCACAAGAATCTGCAGAACGTCCACACTGCCCGCCCGCTCTTGCGCAAGGAAATTTACAGTACGGCGTGGGAAGAGAGGGCTCCTTGCGCAAGAGCTACGCCCTTTTTTAACAGGTGTAAGCCCTCTTGTGCAGGAGCTCTTGCGCAAGAGAGCAGTGTGGATGCTCGGCAGGGATTTCTTGCGCAAGAAAGCCCGATGGCTAAAATGGCCCTCAGAGCTTTCTCGCACGGCGCTCTTGCGCAAAAGCACAGCTCGCACATGGCAGTGTGGATGTTTTCTTGTGCAAGAGTTCTTGCACAAAAACCCTTGTGCAAGATGTTCTTGCACAAGAAACCACCAGTGTAGACATAGCCTAAGAGTTTCCTCGCATGAGCAAAATGAATTTTGTGTTGTGCACCAGTACTGAGTTCAT